TCTACTATAAGGACACATGCACATGTATGTTCATTGCAGCACTGTTTACAATAGCCAAGACCTGGAACCAACCCAAATGCCCATCGATGATAGATTGGACTGGGAAAATGTGGCACATATACACCATAGAATACTATGCAGCAATCAAAAATGATGAGTTTGTGTCCTTTGTAAGGACATGGATGAAACTGGAGAACATCATTCTCAGCAAACTGACACAAGAACAGAAAATGAAATACCACATATTCTCATTCATAAGCGGGTGAGGAAAAATGGGAACACATGGACACAGGGAAGGGAGTACTACACATCGAGGTCTTTTGGGGGGAATGGGGAGGGACAGCGTCAGGGGAACTGGGGAGGGATAGCCTGGAGAGAAATGCCAAATGTGGGTGAGGGGCAAGAAGGCAGCAAAACACACTGCCATGTGTGTACCTATGCAACTATTTTGCACGTTCTGCACATGTACCCCAAAACCTAAAATGCAATAAAAAATATATAAATAAATAAACTTAAGTGATTACTTATTTTCCCCACATATAATGCAACCACAGTCCTGCAGGTAGCAGGACTGTGTTCTATTAATATTAATACAGTGTTCTATTACCTACTTATCACTTGCTTTAAACCATTCTCTCTCCCACATTCTGATAACTCTCAGCTTTGAAAATATGGCACTCTATTATAGTATCCACTATTCCTCATTCTGGTTGTCAACTACTGATTTGAAAATATTTTGCTTATTGATAGTTTGCTTATTGATAGCTTATTGATAGTTTGAGCCCTTGGGTCACTGTCAGTCTACCCAGTGTCCAATTTCTTTATAATTTCAACAGACACTGAAAGGGCCTTCCAATGATTGAAACTCTCAGTTTCTTCAGAGTCTCTCCTCCAATTATCTTGCACTAGAATATATTTTCTAGGGTCATATCTTAAACTCTGCCACACTGTTAATGCAAATCCTCTATAACATCTGTCTCATTCATCTCATCTTCTGGTTGGCTTCTATCTTTCTAGCTCCCTTCCTCTTCGTTTTTGGAGTACTTATCCAGACTTCAAAAGTCCTTTGACTTTATAGGAACTGCCAGTCTTTAGGTTCTATCACTTATTACATCACTTTCTTATTATATTCTCCTCCTTCTGTATTCCACCTTAAATTCCATGGTCAGTAATTATATCTGCCTTCCCATACACTCTCAATTTCTTTGCTTCTTTGTTAATCTGTAAAACTCCCTTAGGAAATCTATAAGTCTGATTAAATCCAAAACTCCACCTACTCTGCACCTATGAAGCCAATATGGCTCAAGAAAAAACATAATCATGCAGATTAACTTTAAATTCATGAACACAAACTCTTAGGAGGCCCTTAATGCTACTCAATAATCATATTACATTTCTTTAGACCATTCACACTCCCAGTTTTCTGGATGACTGCTTCTCTTCTATTCTCTTTTCAAATCTCCCGTCCTCATTCTTAGCTGATGCTTTTGCTCCCTACTTCAAGAACTGAAGTAATGTAAAAAGAACTTTGGGCTCCTGCCCCTATACTGACCCACCTACCAATCTTCCCCCACTGTTATAAAAAGTGAACTACTGTGTTTCTATTAAGGTCAAAACTCCATTGTGAACTAAACTGCATCCCCTCTTACCTACTCAAGGATGATGTTCTAGCAATTTTCATCTCTCTCTTAAATCATGAATTTTCACTAGATCATTCCGAACTGCAAACTCGTATGCTATTATTTTTCTCAAGTTAAATATTAAGAATGACAAAACACAAATCATTCTCTTGAAACTACCATCCCACATCTCTGATGTCTTTTGCAGCAAAATTTCGAAGAATTACATCTTTGCTATCTCTAATTCTTTCCTCTCATTCCTCTTAAATCCATTCCAATCTAGCTTTCACCTAAAGCATCCCAAGGAAACTGCATAGCTAAGTCACTAGTGATCTCCTCATTGCTGAATCCCATCTTGTTTGACTTCTCAGTATCATCTGACACCAATGATCACTCTCTTCCTTAGTATATACTTTCTCCTCTCGGCTTCCAAGGCATCATATCTCCTGGTGCCTTTCTAATTGGCTGCTCTTTTCAAACTCCTTTGAGGATTGTTCTCTTTCCCCTACCTCTTAATGTTCAAGTGAGCCAGGCTCAATCCTTGATCCTCTTTTCTTCATCTAGACTCACTCCATTGTTGAATCCATCTAATTGTATTAAGTAACATCTATACACTAACAACTACCAGATTTGTACTTTTGATTCGGACCTCTCTTCTCCAACTCCAGACCTGATACCCAGTAGTTTCCATCATCCCCACTTGGAAGTCTAATAGAAAATACATCTAAAACTGAACACCTAATCTCATTTCCTGAAATCTTTTACATTTGGAACTGATGTCTTTCTCTAATGCTCCACATACAGAATCCATCAGGATATTCAATTGGTTCAATTTCAAAAAATACATCCAGAAATCATCACTTCATACCATCTCCATTGCCATCATCTTAATCTAGCATCATTACCTTTTAGTCAGGTAAGTTCAAGTGCCTCTTAACCTTTTATCAACATATTTTAACCACAACTCCCAGAGTGACTTTTTAAAAAAGATCGTGCCATTCCTCCACTCAGAATTGCCCACCAGCTCTCCAGGTCATTCATAATCAAAGCAAGTCATTACAATGACTTACAAGGCCTATGTAATCTATACCCTCATTATCTTACAGACTTCCTCTCTTATCATATAACCCCTTACTTCCTCTGTTACAACCAAAATGCCTCCCTTGCACCTCAAACAAATTTTGCATTGGCTGTTTACTCTGCCTAGAACCGTCTTCCCTCAGATATCCACAAGGCTAATTTTCCCACCTTCAAGTTTTTATTCAAAAGTAAACGTAAGATAATCAGGTTTATCTGGGTTTCCTACTAAAAACTGCAACTACAACTAGTTATGCTCCCAATCTGTCCATTTCTCACAGGACTTAGCTCCCTCTAACATTGTAAAATTTACCTACTTATTATGCTTATTGTTTATCTTCTCCTCCTAGATAGAATACTAAGTTCCATAAGAGAAAGAATTCCTGGCTACTTGCTCGTTGATACTGTAAAATGTCCCTAGAAGAGTGCATCACACATAGAAGGATTCAACAAACACTGGATGATTGAATATTTATTGAAAACCAACTATCAAGTATAGCTGCACCTGATACTGTATATTAAGTACATTCTACCAAAAAAAACAGTGCTGAATTGAAACACACACACACACAACTCAGAGTTCCTACCACTACCTTATACTATAACTACACTCCAAAGTCTCTAACAATAGAAACCATGGCTAATTGTCTTAATTACCCAGGCACTTTTAAGCAGTATACTGTAAATAATTATTTTAAATAGGCAGTGAAAAACATTAAATAATGATTTTCTTATACTTAAAAATATTAGCTGAAATTAAGCTACACACTGCCTCAAAGTCATAGTCTTTTAATAAATTCATTGAGGCTGACATATTACTTGTCACTGAGAAAATAATTATTCTTTGAAAGAGTCTTACTAAGGAGCTAAATTCCTCCTAATACTTTATAGTATAAACCAAACACAAAAATAATAGAAATATTTCTCTTTAAAAATATTTTTTCCATAGTACTACAAAGTTTGTCCTTCTCAACACATTCTGCCTTTATTTCAGTAAATGCTTTTGTTTTATAATTTTGTTTTACTATTCAATTGTATCATGGAAATTAATCTTTGTAATAATTTTTGGCCCCATCACTGCTATTGAGTTACCTAGAGCAAGGGAAAGAAGAAATATTTCCTTACGGATGAGGAAAGAAACCCAGAGTAAATAATATAAGAGTCACTGCTTTTAGCTTGAGGTTCTTTAGAATTTACTTAATATATATGCCAATAAAAATCTGCTTTCCCATAACAATATGATGCTTCCATTTGGGAAAGGTATTTTAAAATAGTAAGTAATAAGAATGCTGCAAACTAGATTATTTCAACAAGATTTACTTTCTCAGAGATTTTTTTTTTAATAGGGGGAAATAGCCAATTCATCAAATTTACATTTAAATAAAAAAATAATCATTTATCTAAAATGTTGACCTTTAATTAAGTTCAGTCCTAATCACTCTTATGTTAGCTTTTCCTAAATGTATAGATTCTATACTAGTTTTTTGTATCACATCATGAAGCTAAACTGAATTAAAACTTTTATGTATTAACAGAAACATCACTAATTAAGTCATTTACCAAAAAATGAATACCTATTCATTGGAACTCAATTATAAATAAAACTATTTTTAATAAAATTCAAATAGTCCATTTGGTTATTTCTCAAATATCTGCCATTATTGTTAAATATCATATACTTGACTATGGCCTGTGAGTTCAAAGAAACTTCCAACTATATTGGAAGAAAAGGGATTTTATTATATATAGTTGCCTTCTCTGATTAATAGAAGTAGTTATAAAATTAACATTTATATTGAAACAAGTGTCTTGTCTACATTTTTAGATTGCAGTATGTCCAGTGTTGTTACATACTGTAATTCTACATACAATCCTGAAATTGTATGTAGAGGCAGTACTCATTTTTTTCTGAACTGTCACATGTAACCAGAAACAAATGGAACAAGACTATTGAGTATTTACTTAAACTCTTATTATCTCACTGTTTCTTTTCAAATCTCCATTCACTAGTTTAGACTTTACTGCACACTGTAATAAAATCATTATGATTTTTGGTCCTTCCAGGGGAAAAAACACATATAATGTTTTTAAAAGTTAAGAATCATCCTTAAACCTTTCAAAGACTTTCACACATCTATTTCAGAAAGCATCACAATATTGATAACAGATAAAGTATTGTGTTCTAGTTAATGTGTAATGTGCCTTGTGGCAATATAAGAAAAGCTTTGAAGAAAATGAAAAAAATCTATAGTCTTCACAATCAATATAGAGACTTCTGGTTATTTAGCTCAGTTGATTACATACCTTGCCCAGTAATTCTCCCAATGTGACATCTTCATGATTGAGAATCCATTTCTTGTCCTACAGCAAAGAATAAGAACAGTTTTTTAGTACAAGCCAGGGTACACTTCTTGAAGTTGCATTTGAGCCAGTGGAAAATAGACCTAAAGGGACATTTCATTCAGATCATTCAATCAACAGCACACTAAGAAATTACAACCCCAAGATGTTATAAAACAAATTTAAGAAATGATACTACACAATAGGATATTAAAGAATACATTAAAGCAAAATTCTATCAGAAATCTCAGCTTCTGAAATGACAGTATCCCTGTAATTAGAACATAGCATGCACTTTCCACCAACCGTAAAGTTTATGTGATGCTATTATATGTCATTTCAAAAAGCTGTCATAAGTACATGAGGGAGTTTGATCTTAAAATGCAAAATTTTCAGTTGTCATTTAATCTTACAAATTATTTTTCTCCTTAAATCATATTACTAAGAGTTAATTTTTCCACATATAAATGGGCCATGAGTTATAGCTGTCTATGACACTTCATATAGTCCCATATCATTCCCAAGTAATTTCCTGTGGTATAATAAGGCAACAAACATCAATTACAATATTACTAGAGTGCATAAGCCCTGTGATACAAACATATCATTGGAAAAGAGTATTCATTATCTGATCTCAAGCACTGATTACTACCTAGAGAACATTTTATCATCTAAAAAAAAAAAAAAACTATGAAACCCCTAATACCATAATGTAAGAAAAAATGTGTTTATGGCTGGCATTTTGGCTCATGCCTATAATCCCAGCACTTTGGCAGTCCAAAGTGGGCAAATCATGAGGTCAGGAGTTCAACACCAGCCTGGCCAAAATGGTGAAACCCTGTCTCTAGTAAAAATGCAAAAATTAGCTGGGCGTGGTGGCAGGTGCCTGTAATTCCAGCTAACTGGAACTGTAACTCTGGGAGGCTAAGGCAGGAGAATCATTTGAACCCAGGAGGTGGAGTTTTCACTGAGCCGAGATTGCACCATTGCACTCCAGTCTGGGTGACAGGGCCAGACTCCATCTCAAAGAAAAAAAAAAGAAAATTTATTAATGGAGGAAGGAAAAAGGAATAAAGTAAGAGAAAAGGAGGAGAGGAATAGAAAGGAAAGAAAGAGAGGAAGGGAAGAAAAAAAAAAAGGAGGGAAGTAGGAAGGAGGAGGCAGAGGAATAGTATCCTGGGTAATACACTTTATTTATGAGTTAGGTTGCTTATTAATGTTAGTTAGTTTCCCCCATAGCAAAGACAGATTGAAATGCAGTCATGATCTATGAGTTGTAACAAGTAATCAGACTTTAAGTAAATATCCATCCTAACTATGACTTTAAAGTGTCCTGGACAGTTATTTGAAGTGCTTTACCTTCTGAAATACCATGTGGCAAACATTCAACCAACACTCTCTGTTAGGTCAACAAAGGGACAACACAGATTTTAATACAATTGTTTATAAGCACAGTTTTTCTACCTAAAGTTAATGCTATAAGGATCCTGGAAGAAAACTTAGGAGGATAACCTCATGACAAAGTGGGTAAGCAAAGGTTTCTCAGAAAAGCACACACACACACAAAAAAATTAAAAACATTTATTCAAAAGTATCATTTAAAAAACAAAAAGACAAACTACAACCTAGGAGAACATTTTTGCAATACTGAATTTCTATCTGATAAAGCATTTCTATGAAAAACACATAAAAAAACTCATATTTCAATAACAAAACAAAGAACCCAGCTCAAGAAATTGTGTAAAAAAAGTTAAGAAAAGATGGACAAATAGCCAGTAAGAACATAAAAATATGCTTAACATCATTAGTCATCAGTGATATACAAATACAAGTCATAGTAAGATGGTACTTCGTACCCATTAGGATACTAAACTTAAAAAGACTATAAATATCAAGAGATTGTGAGGATGTGGAGCAATTGGAATCTTCATGTATTGCTGGAGAAAATGCAAAAGCATACAGCCATTTGGGAAAATAATTTGGAAGTTTCTCATAATGTTAAACATACACATCTTATGACTCAAATTGCTCTCTTAGATATTTAAAAAAGATAAATGAAAACATACATCCACAAAAAGATTGATCAAAAAATCAATCTTTGAAGCAGGTCTATTTATAATAGCCAAAAACTAGAAACAACTCGGATATCCATCAAAAAGAAAACTGATAAAAAACATTTTGGTATATTCATAAACTGATTACTATTCAGCAATAAAAAGGAACTTATTACAGATGCATACGACAACAGAGCACTTGCAAATCATTTTGCTGAGCTAATAAATCTAGACAAACTTTACGTATATAGATACTAATTCCATTTACATAAAATTCTAGAGGAGGACAATTAATCTATAATGCTAGATATCATAGAAATGGTTGCTTGGGGCAGGAGTTGAGAAAGACTGACTGCAAAAGGTAAAGAAGCAACTGTAGGGGGGTGGTTATAAGAATGTCCAATTTCTTGGTATTTCATTGAACTACGTATTTAAAACCTCTGAAATTTTATTTTATATAAATTACATATTCAGAAGTTCATTTTTTAATAAAAAATAAAAAAGCTGTACTTTCCATTTGAGTAGCAGTTCTGGGGTTTAATTCTCTACCCCATACCATATATATATATATAATACCCTATATATATTTTTTATATATATATTTATATATATATAAAATAAATATTATTCTTCAAAGAGTGTCATCTGGCAGTCAGGAAAGTAATTTTAAGGTTGCAAACTGGTTCTTGAATAGCTTTTCCACTTTAGACAATGATAACCTAGACGGTTCAGCCCAATCCTTGTACTGCAATCCACTGAAAAAACAGGATGAAATTTAAAAACAAAACAAAAACACAAAAAGAAAAAACAACCAAACAAAGAAAATCCCTGAACATCCATTTCAAGGAACTAGAAAGCTACTAAAATAGTGCAGTACTGAGAGACTAAAGTTAGGTTAAGAAGAGAAGTCATGTCAAGGATTTATGGGCTACTTTTACCCTTGAGTGCATTTGGTCATTGTAAAAGCAGAAGCCAATAGGTTAAAAAATACAGAGAGAGTTCAGGGCCTGCAAGAAGAGGCTCTTATAAAACACCCTAGGCTTTTAATAAATCCCAAACATACCACACTGTGGTATAAAAAGTAACCTGGAAATGAAAAGAAGTAAGCCTACCTTCTAAACATATCCAGCATGGATTAAACCAAATTATGGATTGCCAAACTAAGCCTACAGATCAAACTGGCTCTGTTTCTAATTAAAATACAAATGAACAAACAAAAAATGAATAGAAAATAAAGATATTTTCAGATGAAGAAAGCCTAAAAGGATGTAGGTAAAACCAAAACTAAACATAGTCCTACCTTGTTTAACTTTCACAATAACTCTGTATGAGGAAACTTTAACAAAGTAGGTCTATTTCAATTACTTTCTGCTTTTCTGTATGCTCTTGATAACCCTTGGTGAAACTGAGAACTAAACTACTGGAATGTTCGAAAGTTATGGAGTAATGTTAGTCCATAATGCCTGAAATGTCAGGTCAAAATGAACTAGGTTGTTAGCACGTTTAAAGCAAACATAAAGCTTCATTCTATACACGTGGTGCCTGGTTTGGGGCCTCACCATGGTTGGTCATCTAACAGGTATGTGATCAGCTCCTGGTAAGAACTTTGGACTCCAAAACTTAAATGGGATTTCCTGAGCAACAGTGTCTACAAACACATGGCCCTGCAGTTTATACAGAGAAGGAGACATACCAATACAATTCCTGCCATAAACAGTGCAAGAAAACCTCTTTGACCTAGCTTTTGCTGTTCCTATATGAGTCCTTTGTGATAATAAATCCTAGCCTTGAGTATAACTTTATATTAACTTATATGAGCCTTTCTAGTGAATCACTGAACTTGTGAGTGTTAGTAGGACTATCAAGCCAGGACTCTGAGGTTTCTGAGACACAGGCTACTCTGACAGCAAATGGCAGAAACAATGTTTGAACTCTATCTGTCTGACTCTAAACTTACGTCCTTTCTAACAAATTAAACTGTTACCCAAAAGAGAGTAATTTATTTAAAGCAATGCATATGATTCTTTCAAGTTCAGAGATAATGAAGCAATCAATTTTAACTGAAAAACAATGAGTTACAAATTCTATTTCACGTTCCAAGTTCTAGCCCTAACAGATTTTTCAACTTATGATTTACATACTTTGTTTGTTATTTCTATGCAAATAAATTACAGATTGCTCTTCATTCACTGCATCATTAGATTATAATCTAAAGCTTTGCATTTTGCACATTCACAATTTTTGTGTCAAAAAATAAAATCACAAAAAGCTTTACAGTTGGAATCAAGTATGTCTTAACATAACTGTCAGATTTATGAGTTAATTTCGTATAACCTTTATGGAATCTGTAACTAAAAAAAATGACTCATACTTTGGTCTCTTTACCACTTATTTCCACTAGATAAATGATAAATATTGCATTTTCCCACAATAACTCTGTACCATATTTTCTATAAAATATAAAATCACTTAAAAATAAGGTTTCAACAAAATTAATCATTAATATAGTACTTTTCAATAAAAACACTATGTTCTTGTAAATCCCACATTTCTATACAAGTAGATATGATAGTAAGCGAAAGCTATAAAAATAACTGAAAATAAAATCTACAGCTTTAAAATGTTAAAACCTAAATCTTAGAATTTTGTCTCACAAATGTAGTCATTTTAAATAAAGTAAGTAAGTAGCAAACAAGCAACATTTCCTTTGTTTACCTGAAGACAACCAGCAGTCTGCCCAGGCTGCAGGGGACTAATTGTGCTTCTTGTTGGACTGCCACAGGGTACAGATGGTCATTATTTGTTATGTCAATCAACTCCTGCCAAATCTCTTTGGATGGGTGTGAATTTCCTCCTAAAGTTATCCCTTTAAAGAGCTTTATGGGGCAAAGGGAAATATTTGAAATTTGATCTCAAGTAGGTAAGTCAGAGTGATTAGAAGTGTGACTTAAATGAACACTTCCCTTT